AATGGGACGAATTAAACTTCAATCCGATATGCCTGATCAATCAAGCCAATATTGCCTGGCTGTGCTCTGATGCTTAGCAAGTGCAGCAGCAACAGGCAAGGAACCAAATGAAAAAAAAAAGAAAGATGCCTAAAATACATCAGACGACAAATTTATTTTAGATGCAGTGTCGAGCGTCTGTCGTGGCGCGAAAGGCCACAGGCTACAAGTAATGGAGTATTACATGTAGGTCCCGCAAAATAAATGGTCACTCTCTCATCCCCGCTCCAATCCTTCTGGCGATCATTCAAATTGGTACATGTACAGGCCCATCACATTTAAACACGGCTCTCCTGTTTACACATTGAATGCTGTTGCTAAATGCTGTCCATGTGACTTAACACCCGATCGAATCAGTGCACTTTTGGACTTTGATTTTTCTGCATCTTGATGTAATATAGTGTGAGCCAGTAGTAGACCAGGCCAATTTTGATACAGCTACAGGAAAGTACCATACTTTGACAGAATTTTGCAACAGGGTGTAAAAAAATGTCAGATTTTCGTTTTGCCTTCACTACTACCTTCTTGCAGAAAGCTTGCATGTTTGATTCTTAAAAATGCAACATGTCCAAGAGAAGGAAATCTGACCCTCCTTGCCTCAATTTTACTCCTATAATTACAAGAGGTGAGAAAGCTAAACCTGTGGTAAAAGATCAAGTTCGCAGGGCAGAGTATGGTTTACATTTTTTCAATGAGCAAAATGTTGACCAGAAAAAATAGCACAACTTTAACTGTCTAAAATGTCAACCATGTTAACTTTTACAACTGAATTTCAGAATTACTTCAAAATTTACATTTCTGTGTTACTTTCACAGATTCATTTTTTCTTCAAACAACTTTGATACACAAACCTACTTTTCAGTCCTTTCAAATTGAGCAAATCATCAACTCAAAATTGAAACAGTTCCCGGCCAACCTATCATTGTAGCATTTTTTGTCCCCATTCAAAAGGGATCACCCTTCGCCACACCGGTAAAGATAAAAGGAATTGAAACATTTCCATTAGAAGTTCCAGGCGTAAATAGAGATATTTGATGCCTCTGTCGGCCTGTACTTTGCATTGTGGATGTACCCACTCCATCAGTACACAGCTCTAGCAAGCAAACAACAGCAATTTGTACATTTAAAACAAACACAACAGCTCCACCTGCCCTGGTGAAGGTGATTTATGACAGCATTCCTCAAGTTTGACTTTCTTTTAATCGTCCGATCGCGTGCGTAAACTAGAAGTGAATTCTTCAAGAAAAGGGAGGGGGGAATAGGCAGACACGACACCAGAGGCCAAATTGACAGGTAAAGGAATGCTTGCACCATAAATTTCAAAACAGTTTGGGTGTCAGCAAACAAAAGGAAAGTCATGAGTGCTTTATAATCAAGCCGCTGTGATTTCTCTTTGATGGGTACAGTGCAAGCCGGAGTGTGTAAAGAGTGGAGACTCAAGTGGTTTCCATGAGGGTGTCATCACATTTCCAAAGTTCATGTGACTACAGGGCTAAAAAGCTACGATTAATGTGTGCAATTATTGCCACACAGCCCTGCTCGAAACAGAGAAAAAGAGACTGAAAACCCTTGAATGTTCTCATCACCTCACAGTGTGGATGAATTTTACGAAATTCAAATAGACAATGTAAAATACAACTTTAATATCTCCTTCCAGCTGTGCCAACGTAGGAATGCCAACACTCCAGCCATCTGTAAAAAGCACACTGACAGTCTTTTTCTAACAGCTGCAAGAAACAGTGCCACAGTTGTAGGCAACATGGCAAACTATTAAACAAAGAATGAACATATAGTTCAACACCAATCAATTATGGTGAAAGGGCTCAAGGCAGTTAAGGCACCCCCTTTCAAAAAATAAGAAACAAAAATCCACCGGTTTTAAAAGCCAAAAAACGTATGAAAGCTCAAGCACCAAAACAGATGACTGCACCGATACCAGAGAAAAATCCAGGCAGATTAAACCCTTCCGTCCCAACTATTTTGGGGCTAGGTACTGAATGTACGTGGGGCATGTATTTGAAGTGTATCTACATACCTTCAAGAGCTCTGTGATCTAATTCAATTTCCTGATTTTCATAAGCAAATCCCAAGACTAACCATGAAACCTTTTACCACGTCCCGCACACTCCCATTACACGGACAAGCACAGTGTGCCATTGTGACGAACTGTGCTTGAATAAACAGATTTTCAGTGAAAAAAGATTTGTGCAGTAAGAGAAACTCAGATAAATGCACAAATATATATCATCATCAGAGGATGGACAAAAATATTAGGAGAAGAGGAAAAATGGGCAGAAACAAATGGACAAAAACAGTGCAATTTATTCTTTAATAAAATAAGTGCTAAATTGCAAAATTTATTCTGTGATGCCCTTCACTGTTTTTCTTTTTTTTGCTGGGAGGGGGGAGGGACTCAAGACATGGTCCATCCTCTTTCACAGTGCTGAGTGATCATCCAGTGATCCATTTCCTCTGCCTATTCAGAATTTCAGAATTTCCGTCAACACAAGCAGATGTAGGGCTAGTGTGAACATTTGGGCGGTTGAGACATTTAAAAAAGATGAGGATCCAAAAAGATAAACACCTTCTGGTAAGGTTTAAGAAAAAGTGGAACTGTTTGGAAGTTAGGATTTCAATCCTTATTGAACATCAAAGAAGGATATTTTAAAGCAGAGGGAAAAACTGGGATGGGACGGAGCTTGATGCTGTCTGAAATATTCCACACATTCTTTACATTTTCGCTAGGAGCACAGAATACACCCTTCCCCCATCATGCTTTTGCTGCATTCCAACTGAAACATTCTTCAGGCACTGGACGGGAATACGTTTAGAAGATGTTCATTTGTCAGTGAGGACGGGCAGAAAAAATAGATCAATGTGTTATATAAAAGCACAGATGCACCGAATCTCCTTTTACCAAAAAAAAAAAAAAATTTATGGATGTGATTATTCCTGCTTGTGGCTTGAGGCTGGGCAGCAAATGAAAAATACTTCACCGTGACATGCAGTGCTCATCTGTGAAATGTTGAATTGATGTTTTCCTTAAAAGTCAAGGCTTGAGTGTTAGTGTCCTGCAGGCCATCTGTTAGTTTGTTACATCCAAGCTGGAACGAAGTAAAACACACACACTCGGGCTGTTGGGAATGTATCACTGTTTCCATGTATCCTTCATACAGTGGCCGTGCGGAGGGGAGTGACGGTGTTGCTGGCTTTACCTCAGCCATTTCCCCACCTCCTGTGAAACCATCTGCAGAATGGCCTATTCAGATTTGGCCAATACTGAATAAATTCCTCACTTTACAACAAAATCTGTCGGTGGGGCCGATCCTATGGCCTATCCTTTCTATGGGCAAAATGTGGGAGGGATGTATCTCCCATCCCTTGGGATCTACGTGATGCCTGCCATTAAATCTCACATAGCCCTTATAGAATTAGGAAAAATCTCTGAGTATTTCACCTTACTAAAAACAAAACATAAGCAAAAATAAGAACACAAAGTCAACTGTCAGAAGGAAAAAGAAAATTCAAAATGCCCTTCCCTTTCAAAAAGGTGTCAACTTAAGAGTAAAAAGCTAAACCTAAAAACAGCTAAAGCTAAGAACATGGTACAAAGTGTAAAACATGAGTGACTATTAATGGACAACTGGAAACTGTAGACCTAAACTGCAGCACTGAAAATGCTGCCCTGAAGAGCAATTTTCCCCATGAGTACTATGGAGACAATTAAGTTCAAAACTTTGACCTGTGGGGAAACAGTTACAAGCTATCATACTAGGCGTTACAAAGTCTTATCAGCTAACAAAATGGTCCTCTTGAAGACAGGTGGCATATAAAGTATACAATGATTGTCTACAAGTCGTCTCCGCCATATTGCTAAAATAAATTAGGCTAAATATTAAAAAAAGGTTCTTGTTAAAGGGTGAGCCTCACTTTAATAAGAACTTGTGTGGTATTTTGTTTTGGGTTTTTTTGTCTCTCTTTTCTGCCACAAAAGGATGTCAACAGCTGCATCCAAATCTGCTAGATCACTTGGAATCTTACAGTCAGGATATTTTTTCTTTTGACTTGCCTCGCTCCTTTGAATATTACAACCGCCAGGCATCATTTAATCAAGTGTTTGTGGTCAGAAAACAATGCATGGGTTTTAATATGCCCTTAGTCAAGGCTGACAGATCTACTTACACTTTTTTTCAGCCGACAAACTTCACTTTCAGTGTCTCTATACAGTTTGATAAAATTATTGCTGCTGATTATCTACAAATATGGCTACTTCATGCAATGTGTTATGGGTCTATTGCCCTCTTATTCTTTAAAGATCACTCTCATTTTTCCTACAACTTGTAATGGGCGACCAAAATTTGCAGAAATATCATCTTTTGGTTGTTTTTTATTTTACCTCCATTTCATTCAAAATGGACAATTGTCCCATTGATTTGAAATAGGGTAATATTTTCATTTGGTATTTAATAGTAAGTGTGTTATTATCTGGAGTTCTGTTAGTTGTGTGGGAATGTTAACAGTAACACTCTGTAAATTATTCTTTCACTTTTGTACCGACAGGCAACCATAGGTTTAGCAGCCACTTGTAGGAAAACACAATTGTGAAGTCACATGAGCAGACCGTAGACTACAGAGAAATGGAATTACTGAAAGTTTGAATGCAATATGTGCAGTCTTAATTTGCTCAATGAACTCAGGCGTTTTAACAGTTACACGGCACTTTTTGTAGTAAAGAGAAACCTTGAATAACGTGCGGCTAGTTGTTTATTTTATGCTCTCTTTCCTACATCGTGTGGTACATGGACATGGTTTCTTCTTATCTTTGCATCCCCCTTTCCCTGAGCAGCCCCACCTCTCCCCTACCCTACCATCCACAGCGTTATCACAGATTGCGTCAAAAGCAATGAAACTAAAAACATGCTAATACTACAGTCATATTTCAGAAAGGAGTGTGTACTTACAGCTCTACTGTGCGTTTGAATTCAAACTGAGGGGGGACGTCTGTCAGGTTCTGCTTGGAGCAGTCGGCGAAAAGCCCCTGGTTCGTGTAGCGACAGCAGCATACCGTCCCCTGACAGTTATACTCCTCGTGGACACAAACACGACCCGACAGCACTGCACGAAAACTAAGAAGGCCGAGTAAACAAATGCTGGCCCATGGCAGTACACCTCTGCACTCCATCTTTTAGATTTTAGAGGAACTTGGACATGTTTTTCACAAATTTTTGACACGAGAATTCCTTGACAAGCCTCTGTCACAACGCGCTGAGGATTAATAACTTCCATGCGTACGGTGTTGTCTATTTACGCAGAGCCAACCTGCTTGCGGGAAATAATCGGACGGATACATTGAACGATTGGGGTGCAAATGTACACTGTCCCCTCACTGATCCAGTTCAAAGTTGAAGTAAAATATACTCTTTATCCGTCTCTTGGGTCCAAAAGCGATTTATTCCTTTCTGTTACGATTCGATGTATTAACTTATTTTATATTCTAACTAAATTACGCAAAAATAAAAGAAAATGAAGAAGTTACCGACAAAACTTTCACGCACCCCTACTATTAAAGTGTACTTGTCCGTACCTGTTGCTGCCAATCACGAAGCACCTTACACCTGTCGTAGTTTCTCCGCACGGAAAGTTTTCTCGAATGTACATATTCACAAGACAAAAATGTAAGCGTTAATGCGCCAAGTGTGGTAACTAATGGACTAAGGGTTACTTTTGCAAGTCACAACTGACCTAAGGGTGAACAATGGTAGAAAAAAAATGGCACGGACCACCAAGATTTTGCGCAGCCGATAATTCATTTAGCTAATTAAGTTTGTAAGTAACAAATCAGCCTGGTATGTTTTAATTTCAACATAATCTTTCCTCGGTGTGAGTGAAGGATATTTTCATAACCCTGCCAGGTGTTTGTTCTATATTTCCTCAACATGTGTATTACCGAATGTTGGAATAAGCAGTCACACACACATATTCAATATTTAGAAGGTTTCACAATAAAATACATTTTATTAATCACGATTTTTTGTTCTTATCAAAATTAAATTGAGGGTGTACAAACTCAGGATGATTAAATATTGCACTTATCACATTTTGAACTCTTAAAAGTGTCCACAATTTTAGTAGCAATATTTACATGGATAAGTTGTAAGACCATTGGTAGTGATTATCATATGCCTTTATCATGTTAATACACCCACGATGTAAAATCTTGTTCCCTGCCAATTACCTAGGAGGAAATACATATAATATACATTTTTACACCTTAATTTACACCTTAAGATTCCACGAATAACCAAAATATATCTATATATCTTTCTCTTACAAAGGAAAAGGCACCCAATTACAATTATTACAAAGATAACTAAGCTGACGTAAAAAAAATAGAAATGAAATCTTTTCACTCGTATTTACATGAAGTCTGACTTCAACTGTACTTTAAATAAACTGCAAGTTACAAAGTAATAGTAACTACACATACAAGTAAACATAAACTAATGATGGGCAGAAAGTGGGGCATTGAAACTGACCTCGTTTTGACAACAATGCATCTGATTATAAAGGGGCACTTGGCTCGTTCACATGAAGAGGAAAATTTACAACTGAACATCTTGATACTAAACACTTGATACTTTATGCTAAGTGAAATAATAATGAGGGAAGTAGCCTACCTAATGAACTTGGCATGCTGACTGCCACCCCAATCGTGGGTAACAGCCTGTTTGTGATGGCATGTTACCTGTTCAAAAAACTTCACTCGCAGCGTTAAAGGGCTGTAGCAATGGACTTTTAAAAAAGACAAACCTCCAAAAAATAGCTTTGCATCTTAGTTCACCTCTCTTTCAGTTTCTGTTTCACTTTTTAAAAGCGTACTTTGCTGCCTTTTTGTTTTTTTTTCCATATTCATGGGGTAAAACTGTGAAAAAACTCACTGTTACTTTATTAAATGCTGAAAATGTTACTTTGGTTTATGCACAAAAACTCCTGCACTTTTGCATGTTTTTCTTTGGCAATGTTTTGCTGTGTAAGTATGCATTGCAATAAGCAAGCAACCCTTTCTCAGAAACGTTTTCTTTGAGTAAATTTTGGCACCATAATTTGACCAGAAAAACCTATGCACTGATCTGTGTCTTTCCTGGATGACAGTGAAGCAGCAGCGCCCTCAATTGTCGAGGGAAGCGTGGATGATTTTAGAAGTTTTCAAAAGTGCACTTTCAATGCATTTAGCTAGGAAGAAAAGGACTTTTCATAACACTGAAGAAGTGTATACAATTGGAGAAAAAATTGTGTCTGACAAAAATTCATTGCAGCCACAATCTATACTGTATCTACTCTGTGCATGTACTGCGGAAGGGGGGCTTTAAGTCTCAGCAATGACAGCCAGGTGTAAGTGTGCGGCATCTAGATCACTTGACAACACACATGAGACTAATTTCAGCTGATGGCCATGGGCAAAACGTATTATTTGTGGCTGAAACCAATGCAAACTGCGGTCACAGCCACATTTCTGATCTCCTTTCTGTTGTGTGAAGTGTCGTCTCTTGTTTTCCTTATTTCAATTAACATCAGGAAAAGGGAAAAATTAATCACTTGACAGTGTAAAAAAATATTTGACCTGATTTTCTTCTCCTGAGAAAATCACTCATTGCCCTGCTCTAAAATCCTTTCTTAAGTGTTACTAATCACGGTCATTTCTTCCTCGCTATCCTCCTCCGAGAGCAAGTGATAGCTCTGCCCATTCTGACATCTCTCTATGCCAAATTTGTCTGCGAAGCACCCACTGCTGTTGCGGTCACAAGAGATGAGGATAACTTGGAGCTGGACAGAGTAGAACTCTGGGATGAAGGTGAGAAAGTAGAGGACGAAGGAGGAGACCATCATCAATTCGGTGAAAGCGCTGACCAGATGGGCTGCATAGCCCTTCAAATGAAAAAAAAAGGATGAGTTGACTTAGTAGCGAATCAAGAATCAGTGCTGTGTTCGAGCCCTGTCACAAGTCCAGTCACAAGACAAATCACAAGACCAGCCATATATACCACGGTGAACAATGATGAAGGAATCCTTATGCTGTGGCTTGTTTTAAGACTGATTGACTTGCGATGTACTTACAAGGATCATGTAGGGACCTGTGATGGATTCGACCGCACCACTGTTCAGTCTTGTGAAAAGAAATGGTTTGCCCCAGTGGTTGAAGTTTGTGACTCAAGACCAGAGGTCAGGGGTCAACTCCAGCAGCACCCATCCAGCACCCATGTATTATACAAATACAGCATGGTGTGAGGGGAAGAAGTGAGAATTACTGGTGCGTATCATTCCTACTTCCTGGGTGTGTGGTGGAATCGGCCAATGATGTGCTCTAATTCGTTTGTGAATATTTATGATGTGTAGTAAAAATGGATACCAGCATTAGCGGGGGGGGTCATAAATTTTTTTAAAGTACATCCAATTAACTAATTTCACACTCATTAACCACTTGCTGCCAGGTTTAATTTGCGGGACGAGTTCCCGAGGCATTTTCAAAAAATTTAATTTTTAAAATTCTTCAAAAATTCTAACTTCACTTACTGGACGTTTACACCCACACGAATGACTGTCTGGTGGCTATTTTAATTTGACAGACAACATCTATTGACACAGGAGTATTTCAGCCAGGCCTGCTGCCTTGTAAAGAGAGCCCAGATTGTGCGGTGTTGAGTAATTTTCTTTGTTTCTGAAATTGGCCCAGGTTGTTGCTGAATGGCAGTGGCATCTTTTCAAATGCAGCCGGATTAGCGCGTAGCGGTGTTGTATCGCTCATCGCTGGAGTGCTGGAGCACTGTTGTCAGCGCTGATAATCTGCAGGTACTGATGCCGCAAACAGTGGTATACTGTTTTGAACAATGACGGATTACCTCCACTTAAGCCAGCTGAAAAATGACGGTAATTCCCAGCAGTGGGTCTTTTGTTCCGAGAACGTTTTTTTGTTACAAAGCCCAGCTCCTTTGTCCGATTTCGAGCAGCCTGGCTACGCATACAAACCTAAGGAGACCGGTACCAGAAACCCTGGCACCAAGTGGTTAATAGCACAAGAAACTAAAATAGGATATCCAAAACAGAAATAAAACTAACAGCTCTCCTGGCACTAATTTCGACACTTTCTTTAAGCAACATTGCTTCAAGAACACCACTAGAATTGACATTCGAGAGCAGACTGGCCTAGACTGAATTAGACCAAGTTCTTAATGCATCAAATGTGACGCACCCATGCTAAAAACAGGCTGAAGTCAGTTCTTTTGATGTTGGACGGTTGCTACTCCCTAGCTGTTTATTTTTCGTACATCAAATCGATCCACATTGGGTCTACAGAAGGCTTTGATAGTTACAGGCAGTGAGAGTTCAATAATCTGCATTGTTCATGTGCAGACCGGTGTCGAGATAAGAAGCTATGAAATCTTCAGTCTAGGCCCAATTTTGGTAATGCCCAGTAGCCTGGTCTTTTGTTACAGGGCCCCTTGTCCAAGTTCAGAGACCTCGGCCACGCATATAAAGCATACATGTCCGGTACCGGAATACCCGGCAGGAAGTAGTTAAACAGTGCTGTGAAATTGGGCGCATGCTTTTGGAATGGTGGGTCACAAATTCTTGGCGCTTACCCCATCCTCTAACTGCCAATGTGGTTTGTCGTTCACATGGTGTTGAACCCGGGACCATCCAATCCCAGCGTAAATGGAGGAGACTAGGCCTGACGTCAAAGTAATGCACCGTCAAGAAAAAAGGTATGGGATGCTCTCTTTGAGAACTAAGCCCAGGCCTGTTGTCAAGGGGGGGGGAAGGGTTACACCCCCTTGGGAGCAGCTTCCCCCATCAACAGGTATCCAAAATTATCCACTGTTCTTGTCCCCCCTCTAGCTGGTACTCAGACCCCCCTAGCTGGTACTCTGCCCCCCCCCCACCCAAAGCTAGCAATGGGGGTTGACTGAGCCTCAGTTGGCAACTATGATCCAACCAAAATCAGTTGAAAGTCGCCAGGGACACTTTTGAGCAAAACGTCTTGGAAAGAATCTTGCACAGTTTAACTCAACAGGATCTCTCAACACTTTTCCCCTTTTCCATTTTAGTCAGCATGCTAATTTGAGTGATGAGCTTCAAAACACTCAGCTCAGTTTGGTCTTTCAAATGCAAACTAAAACAAAACAAGGCCAGTATTTTTGTGGGATCCAGTCACAAACATTTTGAGTCCAGTAAATCTTTTGATCCAACGTCCTGTGGTCTATAGTTCCCTGATATTTCATCTTCAACATCCTCCCATTATAAGACCTGGGAAAAAGGCTTATAGAATGTGACCAAAAAATTTTAAAAACTCGAAGGATACATGTAAAGATACTAATGGATGACAAGATACTCAGCACCAGGCGCAGACGGCAGACCGTACCATTTCCCTGAGAGGTGAGCATCAGGTAGGACAAGACAGTCTGCAGGATACAGTACGTTGTAGAGGGCCAGAAGAAGAGACCTGCCCCCAGCATGTGAATGGAATAGACCTCCGTTATCTGAGAAGAAAAACAGCAAGTCTGGAGTTTGTTGGTGTGTAAACTAATTGTAAATGCTAACAATATCCCCATGTGAGATTTATCAGACATGGTTGTTACACAATTACACAAAAAACAACAAAAGCTGCCTCATTTACTGCTGTAAGTTTTAGAACCATTTCCTTGAAAGCTTAACAACATTAAACCAACAAATTAAGACATAACAGATGAGAAAGTATTTCAAAAGACTTCAAAGACTTGTCATTACTTTATCTGCAACAGTTCCAAATCTGTTGGATAGGTCTGTGCCAAATATCTGAATAACTGCATATTCGATTAATTGTTGAATATTCAAATATTTTTTTCGAATTCGAACATTCGCATGCAAAATTCATGTAAAGGGAAAATTTTCTTTTGTTTCAAATGAGAAAAATTGCAGAATGGAGGCTTGCTTCAAGCAGATTCAAATGACAAGCATCAGAAATCGTACTATATGAAAAGTAAATTATTCATTAAATAATTTAAAAGGAATAGAAATTTTCAACAGGTCAAAAAATCTTGTATATCTCTTAAATCTTGCTAAATACTGACTGGTGATACTCCTACATGTGAGAAGCTATTATATTGATCATAATGTGCAATTGTGTGGGTTATTGCAACTGATGTTGTATATAGTTTGTTCATCAACAATCTGCTGGTCGGCACCACTGAATATTCGGATATTCAATCAAAGTGTAAGCCGAATATTCGAAAATTGAATTATTAGAATGACTCAGCCCTACTATTGGACTGAATGAGATTTTTTTTTTCAAAACTAAAAAGCAGGAAGTTGGAATATATTTAAGACAGAAAGGGACATTATTTTGTTTGTATCTTTTGTTTTATTAATTTATTTTACCCTGGCCGCAATACCTCTCTTCAACTCGGGCCTTAGATATATGTTTAACGTGAACCATCAAGTAACCACTGTCAAAGAGCCTTCACTGGGTTGCTTGCACAAGGTCAAGAGGCCAAAATCAAGGCGTATCTTCCTGGCCACACTTACCCGGACGGTGGCAACGACTGACATTCCTATACTGGCCAGGACGCTTAGGATGAACCCTGCGATATTAAGGCGTCTGGAGTGCTTTGACAGGTCACTGGAACTCAACTTCACCAATCTGTACCTCACAAATGAACTTGCAAAAACTTGATTCAAACAAAGAGATTACAAAAAGAGAATTTTAGTAACAATAAGGTAAATAGAAATTTTAAAGCCAATTCAAAATGATCCTTCCAGCAAGAACTCATTGTTTCAGCTGCAACATGTGAAAGGTTGAACATTATGACTTCATCATGTTGCATACACTAACTAAAATGAAATCTAGACAACATATTACACTCCTTATCATTTCAATGTGACATGGAAAACCCATTGATATTACCGAAGTCTTAGAACGACAAATGCAGTAACTGGGATCCATTTTTTCCCCCAACAACTTCCTTGCTAAAAAGTACCTAGTACCAATTCCATGTTTTATTTCCACTTAAAAATGAGTTTTGCAGTGTTCAGTTAAAAGAAATCTGTCTTGAGATAATTTCTGTTTCAGACTGTGATTGATTTGCCAGGGCTGCTGACAAATACAGAGCGTGTCTTATCATTCTTTTTCCTCAGGTAAAAAACAAAATGTCCTGCCAAACTTCCACATTCAATTTACCGAGCAGAGATGAAACGTACAACAGGTAGCTGAACACGATGGATTCAGGAGGTTTGGAGCCAAGAAAACTGCAACAAAATTATGATCGGGCATTACGGAGAGGTAGGAGCTCGGCAGACAGGACAGTCCTTCCATACGATAACTACTCCGTGTACTAGTGGCCCTCCTTTGGTTTTACAGCACAAATATGCATGAGTGCCCACAGTCACTCTCTTGCATGTGTTTTCTATATGGAACACAAACATGCACAGGTTCAGTGTGTACATAGTTGGTTGCCAGCACGTAATGACCCAGGGTCTTTTGTGCAGTCCTCTTCACTGCATTTGGTTTACTGCACAGTTATGCACATGAAACAGTGAAGCACAGTTGGTGGGCAGCACAAAAGTGCTATCTGATATTCCTGTGAGGGACAGTTGGTGCAGTGCACAACACGACACAACTGTGCTTCTTTGAGGTGTTTACCAAGTGACCCAAAGAGTGACAATGTTAAGCAAAAGTATGCGCAAGCCCAGAGAAACCTGCTTGAATCAATGACTTTAAATTTGACAATAGAAATCTCTGAGCATTTATAAGCATGCTACCATGAGTGCAATTGGTCAATCTGCACAATTGCTCCATCTTTGTGCTAGAGTGGTTAATCTTATTTGACGATTTGTTGACAATTCCACCATGCATGGTCACTTCATGCAGGATTGCCATAGTGCTGTGCGATCGTGCAGATTGACCCATCATGCCCATCACATCCAAACCCATAAACCTTACGGTATCGCTATAACTGCATAGGTGAGTTTTACGATAGTAGAAAAGCAAAGCAGGAATGAACAAGGAGCAAACAGTCGTGCCCCTTTTTTCTTCCCACAGTGCATTTCTGCCAATGTGCAAAGTCATTCATGTGGTAGTAGCGACTTAGGAAGGCTTATAAAATACAGTTTCTGAATTTACCTGATGTAAGGGAAAAATGGTGCTACATCTCTCCTTGCAACAGACACTGAAAATGTAATGCTTAGCAACAACGTTGCTATGACAACCAAGGCAACGGGGACGGCAGCCAGGCCACATCTCGGCATTGTCGCTTAGGGAACAGATTGTTTGATTCTGGGAGAATGCCAAGGAACAAAACAATGGAAAATCTCATCAAAGCTGTATGAATAATTGGCCAAAAAGAGAGTATAAAATTGACTTGACAAAAAGGGTTATAAATACAACCAAATGTGAAGAAAGATCCTCAGGAATTCCAAGGTTTGTGAGTCATGTGAGCTGGTGAGTCGGTTCATCGGGAGGAATGTTTTCTTTTACTAGATACTTGGACACCACGCCATGCACACTTAGGCCATCGCAAAATAATAGACCTACGACAAGTCCTCGGATAATCCACGTTATAATTCATCCAGTGCAAAAAAGAATGCGTAGTTTCTACAGTTGCTTTATAGTAAATAAACAATATATTATGAACATGACGTACAACAAGAAACGTTACCTCAAGCCAAGTTTTTAATACCGCCCGCAGTCTGCGTCTCTACCCTTGCGGAGCGAAGGCAGTCTTCGTTGAGATATAGATGGGCGCTCAGATTTTTCTATTTTTCCGGGTTGTCCAGTGACATCAAATAGCGCCCCCTTTGTGTCTGTTTCAATCGAATCACTGAACACTGCACAATTATGTAGGCCCAACACTCTAGTATGAGAAATCGTTTCACCTGGATTCCTAAAACGCAATCTACAAGCCGCCGAAAAAAGAAAATATAATTATAAGACTCCAACATTCTACTTTAAAAGTCAAAATATTTCAGAAAATTCATCTGAAGTTGACAGTGCCTACGGAAGGTTTGCCATAAAGAAAGATTCTGCTAGGATCGAAACGTCGGGCCCTCTTTATTTTGTGAAAAGCAAAATTGAATAGTAAGGTTGCTAGTCGAAACAATAGATCAGTCAGTAGTCATTGGAAATGTGGAATTAATTTCATTCGGCGGGCAACATGTGCCAGCCCCCCCCCATTTTTAAGGGGGGGGGATGAGAGAAATGCAAGTTTTTTTTACGTATTTCAGTTTCCTCCTTAATTAAGAAACCGAAATACATGTCTATCCCTATCCCTCAGATGGGCCATAAAAGGTTCAATATAAAAAATCCCAATTTTTATTCGGCCCACCCCCAACTTCCCCCAAATGATTCTAGATCCACCCTTCGTAAAATCTCCACATTACTTTTATAGTTGGAACAAAAAACACCTGGGACTTAAAAACCACGCACGGAGTGAACGGATCAAAGAGCCTTCTGTGCCTTAAACGTTAACCTTCGAACATTCTTATGTGCGGGGCTACGTACCCGCGGGTCATAGTAGCTTATTTTACTTTTACAGTCCGTGACCCACATACATGTAACTGTTATTTGCCTTGTTATGTGTTCGGATTTTTGTCCCTGGTCCCTGTTTCTGCTTATATTTACTTGTTTGTGTGTCTTGTTGTTTTTTATATACTTTTTGTTCAGTTTTGCTTTGTTTGTTCTAGTGGTGGTGAAATAATAATAATTCTGAGATCACCTACTAGCTGTTTCACACGGTGGCCCACAACAGGCAAGGCAAAAGCAAAAGCGCCACGCAAAGCAAAGCGCCAAAAGTGTGGTGCTTTTGCTTTTGTCGTGGCACTTTTGCTGTGACGCTGCTTGCTTTGGCATTTTGCTTTTGCCATGACAGTTGTGGGCCACCGTAGTTTTATTATCACACTGAACAGGAAACAGACCTATTACGTATTCCCACACTTTTTGGCTATTGAACCCCCCCCCCCCTTGCGAGGTGAAAGAAATTTAAGGCGGACTGGAAAGAAGCTGACTTCTGAACAACCAAAATGTATCCAATAGCACTCAAAAAGGAGAACAAAAATAAAGCATAAATATGCCTTTGATCTGCTGTAAGATAAAACACAAGTTTAATATTAAAAATGTCCCCTTTCTGGTGTCATGGTGTCAGCCCCCAACCCCTTTCAAAATTTCCATGGCTGAGCAAGTCATCCGTCACGGTTCCCCATCCCCCAATTTCCGGCACAAATTTACACCACTGACTGAAACTTTTCAGAGCAATACACAGAAAAAAATTGACTCAGATGTAGGTCAAATAATATCTAATTTTATTTCCTCACAAACCTGACAAAACCGAATGTTCGTTCGAAAATAATAATTCAAACAATTCTGGCATGTGATTTAATACAATACATACTCTTTCAAAAAGGCTGACGGTAGGTTTTATTTTTTTTTTCAAGGACGTCGACAACCAAGTCAAAATGACAAAGTCGGACAAACGTGAGTTAAACGAATTTTAATGGTTACTGTCAATTAAAAAAACAATCTAGTAATGTATGTTTAATGCACTGGGTGTGATGGTTAATCACTTTTTTAAAGACAGCTTTCTGGGTAATGAATAGCATTATTTTAATTAAAAAAAACCCTACATAATAATGAAGTTAAAAGGGTAGAATGGAAAAGTAACTGACTTACTATCAATCAGAACCTTACTCCGAAGGCAGAAAAAGTTTGGAAATGGATTTTAACATGACTTTTAAGTTTAAGGATTATAAAATTCATAGAAAGACTGCCAATGTAGTGATAAACTTTATTTCACGAGTTTATCCGTCTGAAATGTGAGGTACTTCATGCTCGGTTATATTAAGAAGTTATATTAAGAAGTCCTCATGTTGGGTAAAATCATCAAATGGAAGACACAAAAGCCTACCTTTGGAAGAGAAGTCATATTTTATGGGTACTTGTCATGTGATGAACAAGTCACTTTTATGAAGGTACTAGCTACTTCGTGCAGAGTACAAGTTATCTCATTGAAGGTTAAGTCACTTAGTGCAAGTTGCAACTACGAATGTTACTTCGCGTATGTGAGGTGCATAAAGAAATGATTATAAGACTTGATGCGGAAGGCACTTAGGTGCTAGACAACTTGCCCCTAATGCCCAGGTATGGGTTACTGTGCTTTTGAGTGTCAGTTGCCGTGCCTTAGGTGACAATCACCTTATCAGAGGTGTTAATCACATTGACCAAGGTGCTGGTCACCCAGCCAGAGGTGCCAGTCGGCTTCCCGCATCAGGTACCAGTCACAAAGCCTCAGCTGCCAGTCACCTTGTCTTAGGTGTTGGTCACCTTGACCACGGTGCTGGTAACTGAGCTTAAGGTGACAGTCAGCTTCCCTCAGGCAACAGTCGCCTTGATTCTGGTGCCAGTCACCTTTACTCACATGGTATCACCTCACTTTAGGTGCCAGTACTGGTACCATACCGAGGTGCTAATCACACTGCCTTAGGTGATCTCACGATTTCAACAGCTGAGCAAATTATGACTGAAATATTCAATAAGGTAGAATGGTTTAAATTTTGAACATGAGGAGGTGGGGGCCCAGAAAAGCAAGGCACTGCAGCTTGAATAAGGGAGCTTGAGGGAGAGGGAAGGTGTAATTTGGGACAAGTGTTCAGTATACATTTTGCAATTGAAAAATGACCTCAATTACAGGTGTTGCACTTACAGTTTGACTTCCACAGAATTCTAGTCAAGCCTGATGCTTTTATGAAACCCCAACATTCCAAAGCACCAAAAACAAAATACATGTAAACAGTGATGAGGGATAATCCTGTTGCTTTAAACTTCCCAATCATTGTAGGCCTCCAGGCTGTAAAAAAGACTTGAGACAAGTCTACTCTCCCTTAAGAGCAGGACTTGTAGCACCTTTCGGCTTTCTGTCTCCATATGGAGTCAGGAGCCAGTCTTGACTTGTTTTTTGTGGTGGGTAAGTTTGCAGGAAGGGAATTTCACATGAAGAATTGGAAGTCACGAATATGTGGGTCTCATCTTAACAGCATCAGCACATTTTACTTGAGAACCAGCCACCTTAGACATTAAAATAGATCTCCATGGGTCAGCATGTGCACAGTCGTCTTAACAACCTCAAATGGTCAATACTGTTTTGAAGCATTTCAAATACATATGCTCAAGTATGACAATTCTTACATTCTTTGCCGTCACCTAGTTGTAGAAAATGAGATAAATAATAAAAAGTTTATTTTACTCTCACAACGTAACTGATTTGCCTTGCACACATTTAACCAAGCACATACTGATGAAGATGTATATCAAATATATATATTCCTTTACATATTTCATGTCTATTTACATATTTACATTTGTTTCATTAGCAAAACCAGCAAATTTGAGTAAAGGTACTTGTTTAAAGAAGATATAAAAATACAAAATTATACAAATAAGAAATGAAGAACAAATTCAGCACATCACTTTACAAGAAAAAAAAATTAAGATACAGGGCTCCACATAGTATTCCACAAGGTTGAAGTTGAACAACTGTGATCTCTTCAGTGAGAGCGGGGATAGTGGGGGCCCGAGTAATGCCCACATTAGTACGACTGAAAAAAAAACGGGATACCAGTGCAAATATCACATTGTAAAGCAGACTCTTAAAGCTTCTTTCTGAAGTTTGAAGTGACCACTTCTAACCCACATTTACACTCATCCCCCGAGGACATCGCCCATGAATTTGACTTTTACAGTACCCATAAGAATTGCTGACATCAGGGACAAGTGGGAAGCAGAAAAACCTTCCTCGAGGCAGCAGCTTTTCCAGAGATAAAATATTTACACGGTGGGAGAAATATGTGTTGGCATGTGGAAAGTTTCCGGCAGCATGTTTTAAAGGAGTGTGGATGATGGACCCTAAGCGGGACCAAGAGAGGGTGCAAATTTTGGAGGCTGCTTTGGTGGGAACTGCACTTCACTGGTTCACAAACCACTATGAAACACGCATGTTACTGTCGCGTCACTACCAACAAAATGAGCACGCTGCACCAACATGGCTCTCCTCAACTGATGACGGGGGAGGGGGCTTTTCTGCTCAACGCAGATAGGCTCATGTAATGATGACCCCACACTTTGTTTGCGCTTTCCTGTGGAAGCCAGGAAGCCAGGTGGGGACAACGGATGTGAAAGTTACTAGGAAAGTGTACGCCCCACCAAAAAAGAAAAAAAAAAAAATTAAAAAGAGGTCGTTGACAGGAGAAACAATGTTCAGTGTACATACATTGTTTTTCAAAATGTAAAAGTCTGTGGTATAAGCACTTGTCTTTCTTTCTTGCACAAGAAAAAATGCCAAATGCTGAAACAATGAGAAAAAGATGCTCATTTCATAAAAATTACTCCTTATTTACATACAAAAAGTTTGAAAATACTGCTTCTGGCAAGTTAATATCTATGAACATTGTAAAAATGGGACAAGGTCGGCGAGATGAACAAATAACTTTTAAACGTACGTATACATGATTTTTTTCTTTCTTTTTTTTTCTTGCAACTGTGTCCTGAGTACATGGTTTACAACAGTGCCAGACCAAAATTACCTCATGCAAAATATACTGTGCCCTTCAAAGCAGGGAATCATTCAGGAATTGGAAAAACGAACTTGTGTCCCTGATCAGATTTTTTTTCTCAAACAGACTGGGTGGTTTAGAAGACAGACAGATTAGGAGTTGGAAATTCATCCTCAGCCTCCACTTTTTGCATGAGTTGATGGCACTGGAAATTTCGAAACCATTAAAAAAAAAAGTTCTGGAAACATCCTTCTTTGTCAGGATACAAATGTGGGCACTGTAGTCCAATCGGTACTAAATCTGTCCCTTCAATTCCTGCATGACAGTTCCAAGAATTAAACGTCAAACGTTCCCTGTGAAATACCGGGGGTAGGGACAGAGAAGCTAAAACACGAAACTGAATTTTGTTTTGTATTTTGGAGTTTCCTGATTAATATATTCCGTATTATTTAGCCCTCTTCATAAATCCCATGAGAAGGGTCTGCCCAATCTATCAAAGTGTGTAGCTGCAATAAATTTTTCACACATTTGCTGCAGCTTTGTACTGTTCTTCAATGTGCTGAACTCTTTTACAATCATATTTGGTTAAATACATTGAAAAGTGCACTTTTTGAAAGTTTTAAAATCATCCATACTTTCCTGGACAACTGGGGGCGCTGTTGCCTTGATGTCATCGAGGGAAGACGTTCAGTGCATGGGTTTTTCTGTTCAAATTGTGAAGCCAGAATTAACTCAGTGAAACGTATCTGAGAAAGGGATTGGTGCTTTCTTATTGCTACACTGTATGCACATAAACAACAAGGAATAAGCAAAGAAGACAACATTTAGTCCAGCAAAATCTACCAAAATTCAACACTTTTTTTGTGTACAAACCAGTGCAACATTGAGGCTTTCTTCCTGGGATGACATCACAGTTTGCTCATAAATATGGAAATCTCATTAGCATAAAACAAAAAAGGTGACAAAATACCCTTTGAAATGGTGGAACAAAAGTTGAAATTAAGGTTAACTGAGACACAAAGGTGCACTTAAAAGGTTTGTATTAAAACAAATTGATTGCAGCTACCCTTTAAAGCTTTATTTACACACATTTTGTTCTGAGCTACTTTGTCCTGTTTCTGTGGGAATGGGTCACAAATAAACACATACATGTATCTCGACAGCCACAACATTATCGGGCATGGTTCTGGGTTGATTCTTGCTCATGTGGAGACGGAGAAAAGCATTACAGAACACCGCCAAAATTGTTTGCAGAATTTTATGTTGAGACTTCCTGATGTGGAGAACATTTCTTGGAAACTTTAAAGATTCAGGCAGTCCCTCCCACATTAGATTCACACAACGTGGGCTATACTTTGGCCGAGGTGGTGAAATTTCACAGGTTGTAGTCTGTCTGCCTTGACCGCTCTGGGAATAACCCGGACACTGACACCAATTTTGCAAAGGGGTAAGCGCAAATAAGTTTTAACAATGTACTGGGAGAATAGGCTTCTGTTGAGGTGAGTCCTCATAATCTGGTTTCGTGGTCGTTTTCGGAGGTATTTGACAACAGTCTGGTGTGTTCAGTGGAGCCCGGTCTCGACTTCAGGAGCATCTGATAAGCTATCTCAAACGCCTGACCCAAGGTCATGATTATTTCTGCAGCAATGTCCTGTGGGAGGGTAGAAATAATATCGTCCTGAAGTATTACAAAAAACAGAAGCAACCACAACTCCCATGCATTTCATACAGAACTTCTTGAATTCGTGCAAAGTAAACAACCGCCAGAACCTAAGGCCTCTTTTTTAGGGCACATTCTTTGAAGAGTGACAAAACCGAAAATGTCTAGTATAAAGTGCGGCTGGGCTGTACAGCCATTTAGCTATCAACATGAAAAAAACAACAACCCAGGAGTGAACTTTGATAGTTTCAGGGTTGATCGAGATTAATTTTATTTTTTGGTCTTCTGAACAAAGTCTGCACCACAGTGGATGTTATAAGCCCACAACTAAACTGTACCATGAAGTCCTATGGAAGTACACAAATGGCCACTGAATATGAGGTTTACATGACTACTACATTTTGATGGGTTTTTCAAAATCTTCAGTAATGTGACCGAGAGTAAAACAAAAGGCAAAATCACGTATGAATTTCACTGATATCTTTGGTCTTCCTTTCTGGACGATACGTATAGGGATGACTGCCAGTTTCTTGTCCACAGCCTCAGAATGAGGGCCAAAGACAAATATCTCAAAATATATTGTTAGGGTCCGAAATTAGCCCGGCATTTTACATTAAAGAAAAGCTGAAAACAGACTTTTGCCTAAAAACCTGCAATGGACGCTCATTCAGGAACCTGGAGATTGGAAGAACAAAAAATAAAATATGGAAGTGACAGACACGCTGGTACCAACGCACTGATTGGAAATGACTTGAACAACATCCTCACCTCTGCCTTCACGCTGAAGACGTGGCAATACAGCTTGTCATTCTCGCTGTCCTTGGTGATGTATGCGAAGGTTCGCAGGTCGTCCGAATCCTGGGTGACGCATGATATGTTACAAATCTCGTGCTCTGTGATGACCATCTGTTAAGAAAAACAGAGAAGTAAATTATACAGAAGCTGTTATTTGGCCAAAACAGCTCACTTGAAAATGTAACAGTTTGTAAATGGGCTCCGATTGAGTCTGATATCCGAGAACTTTTGCAAACCAGTGCCTACATTTCTCAGATTGTTGTGTCTGGCAGAGTATCCAAATGCTTATTATTCCTACTCATTCAAGGTATTCAGTAGACACAGCCTTATTATAGAGGGTTTGCACGGCTGCTACCCTTGCAGGCCAGTGCTTTTGTTCCATAGGGCATGTACAAAGGAGGTTTCCTTGTGGAACAAAAGAACTGCCCTCCAAGATGGTTACCGTGCAAAGCCTCTATACATTGTGTAAATAAGCCTGGTTTCTAATGAAAGCATGCATTTCATTGTATGTGTTTTAAATGAAAAATACATGACTCCAACACTGCAAACACTACCTCAAATTACTCCTCTGCCAATGACCAAGTTTTCTGCTGATGACCAACTTGACAGATTTAAACTAACTGAGAATGACGGCAGTACGGTGGCAAATGGAAAGAACCATTCAGAACTTCACTGTGAAAATAACAGCCGCTCAGAACCTCGGTAGTACACTGTGCAGTACACAAACTTGGGTAATGCCATTAGAAGTAGACACAACCATTTTAAGCTTAGGTTGTACAATGAGCAACAAGAACCATTCACAGCATTTCAGTGACTAGGTTGTCAAAGGCAAAGCAAGCTAGGCAAGTTGGATTTTGGAATAACGCAGCCTACCTTGGACTTGAAGTCAATGAATTTGACACCCAAGTAGCTGATGGAGAGAGTGATGGAGGGCACTTTGTGCAGGTGGGAGGCTGACCGTCTCAGCTTGGTGCAGGATTCTTGTGTGGAGTCCGTGCCTTTGGCTTCCTTCACCAGTGTGGACCCAAGATACTGGAAATCAAGCAGGAAGAAAGAAGACTTTCCAAGCCTCATTGCAGACAAGTGACTCAAGTCAAGATAAATTCCATAGCAAAAATTTTGACTAATATAAAACCGGGACATTGACTGTACAGAAGTGAAGACCTGTGGCTTGCAGATGAAACAGACCTACGACAAAGAATGTTATTCCTATTCGAAAATATTTGTTGAAGACAATAAAAGATGGCTTGTGAAATACACCAAAAATTACAATAAACTGTTTTCCCCTTTACACTGACCACTTCAAGCAGCTGAATTAAATTTTGGTTGAGTCAGTGACGAGAGAAATGCTCACCGATGCAGTGTAATTGCAACAGCCCTTGATGAGTGCCTCGGGAGGATGCATCCATTGCACAGGGGGAGAGGTTGGTCCATTTTCCGCCTCCTTGGCATCTGATGCCCTACAAGACGTACTGGCTGTCATCCTGTCCGACGTGGCCATATTGTCATAGTCCTCAATGTCTGAGTGCTGCATTGCCGCGACAGCGGAGGCTTGGGCGTTAGCCAAGGGCGTGCTGTCCTGAGCAGAGAAGCCTGGCAAGGGTTTGGGCTTGTTGGGCGTGGTCACCTCCTTGGAGTAGTCCTTGAAGAGGTCAATGTCCAAGGAGGCAGACTGCTCGGAGGTGATACTGGAAAGCTGCTTCCGCCTCTCGAAGGAGGACAACTTCAACTCCTGGGTTTTTTGATGCAACAAAAGCAATGGCAGAAAAAGAACACTCACCATTCAATGAAACTGTCTCATAAAATCAGAGCAGCTGGGAATATTCTCACTTGGGCAACAAATTGGACTATTTGACCAAGTTGTGCACATTCAATCGGAAATTTCACCATGTATATCAGAACAGTTGATTAAACATGGTGAAACAATACTGTCAGAGTGGTTAGGCTTTTTAAGGCTGGATAGGATCGGAGCACTTGGATAAAGGAGCAGTCTACCAGTAGAGTGTGTCCTTTCTTGTATATAAAGAACGTGCTGCATAGCACTGCACTCTGTACAGCACCCACACGGAAAATGCAGCACCACTTTTCTATTTTGTCTCCTGCTGCTGGCAGTGAGTCATTGGTGGCTTGGGGCAGAAGGGGGGGGGAGTGTAAGAAGGTAAGGAACAGATGGTCACTCACCAGGTCATCTGTGGTGAGTTCCAGCGAGTCTGGTCTAGGTATGCTGCTGTTACTGCTGCTGCCCACACTGTGCCTCCTCTCACCCAGCGATGCTAGGATTCTCTTCCTGTGTCCCAACAGGTGGACCTCAAGTACCTGTGTCACCAGATAGAGACATCAAACCCGGAACAATCGTTGGCGAAAATCTACTTCCAAATTAACAGGCTTTGCAGCCTCTGAAAAGACAGATGGGAACACTCTCCAGGCCTCTAAATCTCAGCTGATTCCCGATTTTTAAGCTTCATCTCAAGTGCAATCATCAGTTACAAACATTCAGTGGGAGCCAAACAAAATTTCTCCAAATGTGGCTTCATTTAACACAAAGATGATCATGTGTGGTAGCAGAAGATGAACACGAAGCCATGTTGAGCATAGCGGTCTCTATAATGTAACAATAATAATACGCTCGTGTAGTGCTCTATGCCTCTCCACACTTAAGCAACAAGTATGGAACTTGAAGCTTGAACCTTACAGTGGAGACGAAGTTAACAATTCGAACAAATCAACTCCTGCCAACATGATCAACCTCTTCACTTGATAGCTGAACCATTCTCAGTTCCTTCAGAGTGCATGTCAAATCACGCTAAAACAGTCTATTTTCCATACAATAAATCTACATTTTTGAGCATCCAGTAGTACCTAAGAGAACATATATTTTTCTCGCTTGATTTTGGAAAACAATGAATGCATAGTACTTCATGGCATCCTTCTGGTGAAGGGCACATCCAATTTTGAAGTTTTCGCAACCCAGGCACATGTGCGCTTTACGTACAGTTTCGAGTTCCAGCTCCCAGAGTTCCATGGCGCGCTCCATTGACGTGATCCCGTTGGACAGGAAATTTGGTATGCAGTCGCTGAGCAGCAGGCTTCGCAGCCACTCTGACACAGAGCTGGGCATGTTGCCTTCTTGTGCTGATGATTACAAAAAAGAAAGGAGTTTTGAAACCCTTGTTCTCAGTGACGATCGACATGGGACATTAGGTTGGTGTTTTTTAAATCTCAGGGTTTGAATCCTACATGTATATCTGTGGTAAAAATAAAGAACTGAAACAAATTTTTTTTAGCTTTTAGTATATGTACGGCGTTTCTTATTTTATCTTTGATCTTTTATCATTTTATCCGAAGAGTGATTTTTAGAAGGACCTTGAGGTCTTGTTCATAACTCCTGACATGGTAAAAAATTAATAATAATAAAAAACAAAAAAATTACTGTTGTTTCATATTTGTTTTGCATCTGTGCTCTGGCACATAGGTCATTCCATGAGGTTGGGGCACAATTTGTGACGGTGTCCTTGTTACATCGCTAACTTTTACCACCTGTCATGACCTTTAGAGTAGGTCATTTACAATGTAAAAATAACATACACCTCTGTATTCAGCCCTGCAGGATGTATAACCATGTGAATTTGGAATCCACATGCAGGGAAATAGCTGTTCATTTTTACGCAACCCATGTAACAATTGACACCGCCACAAATTGTGCCCCAACTTCATGGAATGACCCACATAACTTGTTCACTTTCAGTTGAACATAGTAAAATAACTGTGGAAACCAAATGATAATTCTTCTGCACAATGAAGCCTGAAGACTAGATCTGGGTGTCCTCTGGTCCATCTGTGCACCAAGTGTGTACCAGTGAATGGCTCATTTGACCACATGCCAATACCGCGACCTACTGGCTGATGTACTGTTAGTCTCGACAGTGAATTGAATGCTTGGGCTCACTGATTGTCTTCATGACTGGGAGTGCGCTGGTGGCCTGCAAGATGATCTTGCGGTGGAGTTCCTCCAGGATTCCCATCTCGGTCAGGTCACTCTCCTCCAGGATGTTGCCTCCCTGAAACACGCAACACAAGCCAGGCCACAGTCAGACGGTGCTCTCAAGCCCCATATTCTAGGCACCAACAATTGTATTCCAATGTATAACAGTGTATTTATTTCTTGATGAATCTATTAAACCACATGGTGCTGGGACAGCTTCAAGTGTAGAAGTCACAGACAAGCTGCGAATGTTGAGAAACCAGTTCAAACATCTCGGAGGGAAGTCTGTGCACTAATACCTACCATGAAGTCCAAGTTGTCAAATCCGTTTGCTATCAGCATGTTCTCGTACTGTCCCATGCCTAAGCTTTCCAGCCATGCACCAACGCTTTGAGGTTTTGTAGGGCCTATTTCAGACAGAAATTACCAGCAGGTTAAGGCAGTATCACTGGAGTTAAGTTAGCCTCACATATAAAAGAATACCAGGGAAAATAATATGAAAATCAATGTGCATTTGAAATCCGGTAAATACCAAAGACAACATCCGTTACCCCAATTTGGTGACACCCAGTGATAACAGCCAATGCATACTTCTAGGAACAAGACCAAGATGGCCACCATAATGAAAGACATGTACCTTACCTTCAAACATCTTTTCAAACTCTTTCTGGAAGTCTCTGATGTAGACAGATTCTCGGACCAGACCAGCACCGAAGGATGCCATTATGCTCTCAATCTGTTCAAAAGAAATACGCATTGAAAACCAATCAATATCGTTACTTCCTGTTAACCAGTTCAGAAAACAACCTGTTCCTGAAAGGAAGCAAACACAGCTCAAAATGAACGCAAAATAATATGCTAAGGTTTTCATCAAAAATTTCATATCTTTTGAAGCACTGAAGTACACCAATTAATACATACAACATCCAACTAGAAAATTTCTATCCTGAATTAGGCAATGGAGTTCAGGCCACTGGGCTAAGCAGTTTACAGTCTTTTTTTTCCTTACACATGTATATGGCTGCTCAAAAGAACCCACACGGACGTAATCAGTGATTGGCCATGCTTGTTTGGTAATGGTGTGATGAGCTTTAGGCTAAAGGTCTCTGAGGAGCTGAAATGAGTCAAAGGAGATCAGTTCGGATGAGTGGCCGATGATCAAGTGCTTAAGTGCTCGTACACAGTGCCACCATTCCTAATGGACCGGCTTACTTTGTTCTTGGATCTGCCTTAACAAGCCAAGAACGAATAGGCACATAAATTGGCAATCATGGGGTTGTATCAGAAACTCTTTTTCCTTGTGGATAGCTTTTTATAATACTAAATGCCAAATTTTATTATTTATTTTTATACAAAAAAAAGGAGAAAAAACAGAAAACTGATTGTACAAGTATGTGAATCAATGGATATGCATGGGTGCACGTTAAGTAGCAGTTCAGCTTTTGCTATGACAACAAGAAATTAAAAAATGGAAGCAAGTGGTCAAATCTGTAGCATCTCATTGGGGTGGAGTATTCTTGGATTGTTCTTAAAGCGACTGATGTGATTCCAGTGTACAGTATTTCAAAGATTTGTTTCTCACTGCAAGTTTGCCGTCTGATCAGGTTGATGTCTGTCAATTCCTCAGTTTTCTCCAAAACCTGTTCTGCCTCATTAACTCGGACATGCGCGAGTGCATCTCAAGAATGCCGATAGTTTATATATGGCAGTCCCAGTAACACAAGACAGTAATCCGACTGACAGCTGTAAGCCATCAGCCACCTTGAAATGACTGCCGTCTCAGGAAGCTCAAACTATGTACATCTTTGCTGAAGGCGTCGTTACTACATGCGAGAAAAAAACCTGCACATGCGGGTCTTTTGCGTTCAAATCAAAAGGAAAGACCTCAAGCTTTTGACTTTGAAGTGAGCAGATTTTTGAAGTGAACAATGCTAATGTACTAATGTTAAGCTGGTGTCTCAGATCATGAAGCTTCAGTTGAAGACACACCTGAAGGGAAACTGACGGCTGATAATTCTTGTGCCACAGGGATCTGACAAGGAGAAAATTTGTTACCTCTCTCAAGAATCACAGAAGTTGAACCATCTCAGATCAATCCAAATCTGCTGAGACATTTGGAAGGGTTCTGAATGATGGGCGGAAGGTATGGACCTTTCTCATAGGACCCTATCTTCATGGGAAAATGTACATGTACAGTGCGTATACAATGCCATCATGCACATATCGCATATGTTCCATAAACCCGCTCGTGCTGATCCAACTATCTTCGAAATACGGGACAGCCGATGTGTGTGACAATGATTTGAAATTGAAAAAATGACAAGTGAAAGTGTCAATCTGCAGAGAGTGATGTCATTTGAGAGAGACCTATAGCTCTGTCACTGATACCTGAAATGGGACTTAATATTCCTTGGATGTTTAAGGAAGACAAATGTGTCTTTGAGTCCTTCTGCATGGGTGGAGTTCGGAGGATTAGGGAAGCCTCGCAGCAAAAGTGACTGAGGGGGTTAGACTTGAAATTTACCTGCGCCCATTCCGAGTTCTCGTCAATGGCTCCGGCGCCGTCTTCCGTCCCTCCCCCGTGTCCCCCGCCTCCTCCTCCGTCGGGTGGGGCATCCGCTGGGCCGTTCTCCCCGACCATGCTGGTGCGGGAGGAACCGGCCAGGGACCAGTCCGTCATGTGCTGGGACAGGGAGAAGCGGGAGGTGGTCTCCAGGGACAGGTTGCGACTGCCGCGGTTGGAGCCGTAGATCAGACCTGCAAGACCATGAAAAAAAAAGTTTATGAGCTTGCCGCAAAGGGCAAAGGTGCTGCGCATGGTCTTTATTCAAAATTACAGCTATGTCTCTGCATCTTGGCTTTGTCTTGAGATGCGCAATCAGTTCCAAATGTTTGAACTGTTGGAACCAAAGTAACATGCTAAAACTCTTGGCCTCATACTAAACAATATGACACTTCTTGATGTTCAGAAAATGGGGTTCAGTAGTGCTCTCTTAAGCCTCATCTCAGGGAACTAAATTAAAAGAACTGAAGCCAAACAGTGACCAGTAGATGAACAAACCTCCCACATACCGTTAACTAATGGGGGAGATCTTGACTGCATGTACATGTACCATATATTCCACCCATGCACAGATTGTGTTTGCAATCCAATGGGAAAATGGTTTACAAATGTTTGAATACCTGGAATGCACCCCAGGTTGGAACAAAACATTAGCTGTGTCAGGAGCAGATTTTGAAAACAGCCAGTGTTTGTTGTCTGTTTGACCTTTGCTGGAGGGTCAAATAAGAGAAATACTTGTGGGAACACAATTCCACACTGCACGTTAACATTCCTAGAAACTTGGCTAATCATCCCACAGGGAAGGTCAATTCATTTCACAACCAGCTGATCCAATTCAGACACATCCTAAACTCTCAATGGCAGCATACTGCATGTACTGTGTCATGTCTTCTGACATTCCCCCTTCCAACCCCTACCCCTTGTGGTCAGCTTGGCCAAGTTCTGAAGTACATTGATTTTAAACTGTAGTACTGCGTCTATGAGTGTATGTACTCATGCAAGTCAACATTTGAATGCATGTAAGTTGACCACATTTAAGACCCCACCGGAGAGAGAAGCAAGATGGACAAGCTGGCCAATTTGAAGAAAATCGTAGCTGGGGTTGGTACAAAGTTGTGTTTCAACTGATACCATAGTGTGCTATACACGTATGAATAGCATCAGTGCTGTTGTCAAGACCATCACGAGACCACGCACGAGACCAGTCACAAGTAAAAGGGTGAACAGTGACAGGGGAATGCTCTTGGTGGAGGACTTTGAATAACTTGTGACATGAATCAAGACTTGAGGTCTTGTGTTGGTCTTGACTACAACACTGAATATCACGTTCAGAAAAACAGCACATGAAAGTGACAAAGATGAAAAAACCAAAAACCAAACAGGAATGCAGTTTGTAAACTGAAGCTTCTCAGAAGTTTACAAAGGGCTTTACATGTACATGTACAATTCAACATACTAGTTTGTCTATGATCATGCCACACCCATATGCTCCTACGCTTTCCGCACACGTACGCAAAGGCACAAAGTGGGTTGCTACACGTACATTGTACAAGTGGTGCTACGTGAATGTATACCGGTGCTATACATGATCTTAACCGGAATCGGCAATTCAACAACTGTACCTTGGATGCGGTGAGCTGGTCCTTGCCAAGGTGGAAGCACACAAACAACAAGCGAGCAAACAAGCAAGTTGTCATTGAACGCCAAATTACAACAAATACAACCCAGAGACTCATAAAATGGAGAGCACACAAGTTACTAGTACTTGGAACGTCTTGGATGATGTGCTAATGATCCAGTGGATAAGTGAAATGAGCACCATGCATGGCAACAGGAAATAACCTCCAACTGAAAACAATCACACCATCTACAGTATATTTAAATCAAAAGTACAAGTACCGGTAATAGAAATAAAAACTGGAAGGCTGGTAGATGGAGAACACCAAACCCACAAGTGAAAGTTTGGATTAATAATAGTGGATGATGACATTAGTGCGGGTCTTCCCCATCCAAAAACATTTACCAAGCATGCGTCATGTACTGCACGGTACTATACATGTCAACATGTAAAGTGTAAATGGTTGAGGAAACAAAACAACCAAACAAAGCCAAAAAAATATTTGACTGAGATGTTCAGATTATGGCAACTTAAGGGGGCAGAACCATACGTCCTATCTCATTTGTATTTCCAAAAATATCCTTCTGATATGATGCTTTTCAGATATTAATGTCACTCTACAATGTACCGTACATGTATGTATGAAAAGTGTTTCTTTAGCTGTGTATAAGCTTGCTTCTTCAAAAATGCAAAAACATTTTTTGAAATTTCTACATGTATGAAGCTATCACTGAATGAGACTTAGGTTCATGCACCTGAAGCATAATTAAATGCCATGACTTTTCATGAATTTTTCATGACCAAATTATGAAAATCCATGACCCAATAACGCAATTCCTTGGACTATTCGGACTTTTAAAGTTGCGAATAAAATCACACATTATATGCACTTATTTCTGATAATAGAAATCACACACAATGTACGAAAAATTTCATGATTTTTCTATGACTTCAGTCATTTTTACAAAATTCCATGACTTTACCATGACTTTATTCATTTTTATGAAATTCCATGACTTTTCCAGGCCTTGCAAACAAAACGAATTTCCATGACTTTTTCATGACTTTTCCAGGCCACAGGAACCCTGGAGACTGCAGAATGAGGGACTGGTGAGATTCTACATGTATGCTGTAGAAGTGTGCTTTATTCACAGTACATTGAGTTTCAATAAACACATCCATATTGGGCAAATGGTGTATCGTGGATCTCTGCGATGAAGTTCAAAGGCACCACTGCAGCATGTGCAAGAAACGACACGTTGTTTCCAAGCCGCTTTATTATATTCCCCAGACAAAAGAAAAATAAATTACCCACACCGGGTAATTTTTTAAAACCAATACGTGCCTCCTACACAAAATGGCTGAACCCATGCGCATGTTTATGTTGGAGTACCAGAGTGTACATGTATGGGAAAATCCTTTCTCCACTAGAAGTAAAGCGAACAATGCAAACACAGAGAACATTCAATAACTCTGGAATAACAATATAAACCACATTAGGTATGATCAGCCGCTGGGTCATTGCGGTATTAAAATAAAACTTCCCTCGTCGGGGCAACGGGGCACAGAGAGAGAAACACAGTTTATCAGGAATACGAGGGCCTTACAAGCGCAGGGCCAATCGATATCGAGCGGGCGGTGAGGGGAAAACACAGCAGTGTTTTGATTGGGTCGGGCCCTCCAGATGCGGGTATGCCACCCCCTGGCACCTTTACAGCTGGCTATTGATCCGAAGGTTGGGACTCCGCCCACCCCGGGGCAAAAAGTGTGTGGAATATCTCATCTTGGGTTCCACTGTTGAATGAGTTAATTCTTGATATATGCATACACGTAGTGTGCATTTTTCCCAATGTGTCATACGAAAGCTGATTTCTTGTCACTGCACATACGAATACATGTATGTGCATGTGTAGACATACATGTATATGTACCGGTACAGTGCATGTGGGCATTAATTACCAGTATTGTGATGAACATGCAAATGTACATCACTGTATACAGGCCAGTGCACGTAATACATTTTTCGGGTATCATCAAGCCCTGTGTGACAGGTATGATCAGGACTTTATTGGGGAAAAACTCTTCCTCTGCTCCAAGGTACACATAAATGTACATGTACACAGGTACATGTATGTATCTATAGCAACATGGGCTATGTGCATTTCTAATGTATCGAAATACATGTACAAGGTGTGTGTGAGGGTACCGGTTAAACCAGGATATTGCAATCACCAAATTTCAACATCAAACCCCAAAGTGCATGTACATGAGCATGTAACTTTGACAGGCTCCGACCCAGCACTATGAAGCTGCTTTTTAAAAGCAATTGGGGGAACACTTGTACCTAAGAACTTAGGCAAAAATTGAGCAACTTCTGCAACTTGTGGCAGTGTGTATGAGCCAGGAAACTTCTCTACAATCGTACTGTACATCTTCACCGAATCCTACCCCTATATGTGCAGTGGCACCAAGGTCTCTGCTTACAGGTTACCGGTACATGTACATGCACAATTGTACAGTTTCCCTGTAATTAAAGAAGGTTCCTGTGCTATCAAATCACACGTGGGTCCTGGTGTTATTTATAAGGAAACAGTTTGATTCAGTCTTATGGAATTACATGTAATTGCATAACACATTTTGCTACATACACATCTGGCACATGTACATGTACTATGTACGTGTACCATGTATATGTACATGTACCATGTACATATACATATAAAGGAACATGTACACACTGTACATCTACATGTAAAATGTACATGTATGCAAATTTTCATGCACCACATTCTTCATTCACAGTAGTATGCTAGAATTTCTGATCATGGAGAAGACACTAAAGTCCTAGGAAATTTTAAGGTATTTTGCTGACATTTTGCACAGTTCCAAGGAAGTCAAACTTACATGTATGGTTTGGACACTTGGACAAAAGCTGTGGTTTCCCTTGACAAACGTTTATAAAACCAGTGTGCCTATCAGATTTCAAATGAAAATTGACATAGTAATAATTACCATTCATGAGCTTTGGATTTCAGGTGGAAATTGAAATTTTAAGTCGATTTATAGTGTTTAATTCCAACATCACCTGAAATCGCAACTGCTACTTTTTCATGTACACTCTAAACTGTTACCAAGGCAACAAATGGTCTCGAATACACTCCAATTTCACTGGCATGCATATTTTCCTAGTGGCAGCATGCCCTCAAAGGCAGAGCTTGCTTGCTTTCAGACAGGGCTGGTTGCCATGGTTATCAATCATCCCATTGATCTCTTGCAGAGCTCCTCCAAAGGCACCTGCATTTGTAGGAGAAAGAACCTTGCTGGGGCTGAGTTCATCACAGAATCGGATGCAATCCGCTGCATTTCATCATTTGCCTGAGATCGGTTCAGTCCAGGGTGCACACTCCACTGTACATCTTCATTTAAAATGGTCTCAAATGTGACATTACAGGTAGTTTAAAATGTACATGTACATAAACTTCATACATTTTGTTCCTTATCTATTATAAAAGCCTGGGGCCGATCTCATTATATGAGCACAAATTTGCTCTGCCAGGAATTCATTTACTTACAATGTAACAAAGACAGGCTATCAGCCAAAATGTTATGCAATATTGATCACTTGTAATTGGTTCTACTGTGAGATTCAACCGGTATGTGCTTCAAACCCTCAAAGAGTGAGGTTATTTTGGACCAATCTCACGGACCGGGAGGGGAGGAGGGACGGTCTCCTTGAGAACTCAGCTATCACATGTCTGATTCTTTTCAAACTTCGTTTTGATTGTCTTTACGTGTAATGCTGCACGTAAAGACAATCATTATCAGTACCTTCACCAATGTTATACATGCAGTCGAGACCTGATAGTCCGAGTCCGAGGCCAAGACTGAGACCTGAAGATGTGAGACCAAGACCGAGACCAATACCGAGACCTCCATCACTGAGTTTCACATCAGTATGACATAGGGTTTTAACGTTATGGTCATATGAAGTCATGGCATCAAACATATGGGCCTGCCTGCATCAAGCACGCAGTGGAAAAAGTTTTGGCTGACCTGTCTGGAAAAACTAAAGGAAACAAGTCTGATTTTTAAAAACCGGGGTCAAAATGACTGCAAGATGTGTACTGAAAAGCTCCTTAAGGCTCAGCGCAAGAAAAACAAACCTGGCAGTGGTATTGGAGAAAATGCTTCGGGGGAAGGGAGGCAGATTCCCAGTGGCCCTTTCAGGGTTAAAAGCAGCCTTGCTGTGTTATGCTGTATTTTTGGCTCAGCATCTTTGCAAAGTAACACCACACTCCAGATGTGCTAATTTTTCTATGTGCGTACCGGTACATTGTACATGTACACGTCAACTCACTTTGACTGTACATGTACCACCATGTTTCATTATAAACTATTGGCCGGGGCGGTCATCCAGGATTTTCACAAATGGCAGGTATATGTAGCAACCACACTGTTCCAATGAAAGCAACTGTGACCGTGGCGACGCGCGCGAACCAGCCAGTCAGAGGATCAGACTACTCGATCATTTCTTTGATCAGTATGTGTACCCACGCCCGTCGCAGTTGTTTTCATCAGCGCGGTGTGGTTGCTACCTGCCATTTTGCAAATGTCTCGCAGGTCCGCCCCAGCGTATAGCAAACTGCCTTGATAAATAAAACAAAACCTGATTAATCCTGAACTGTCACCCCTTAAGAGTGTGAATATGTAGACCGAAACTCGCAGTCTGAAGGTATGTATGTAAACACAGAGCTCGTTTATGAGTATGTGTACATGCGCATTTGGAAAATGCATGCAACTGTCATGTTAATTAGACAACTTCCGGGTAACATGATGTTTCTGATCATGAGTGTCACATTACTTGTACACTGTAAATGCATGTCAATGCAAATGTACATGTAGGCGTTCATATGGAACGCCGCTGTACCATGTCAAGACCCACTGAAATGTATCAGCAAGGATTCAGTATGTTTTGTAACACCATGTACAAGATATAATGAACCTGTCAGTATCTGCCAAAGTACG